AGTAAAGTGAACAAGACTTAACTTGGGCTAAAGTCACCAGAGAAAGAGATAACTTGAGATAAAACCCATCAAAGCAAGGGATTAATGCACCACTTTAATTAATGAATAATCACATGAAAATGGGGATAAGCAAGAAATTGAGTCAATCCAAGGCGTTTAAAGGAAGGTGAACAACCCGTGCAGCATTAAAACAAGTAATGACTTAAATGCGAAAACTAAAGACATTTAAGGGGTCAAATTGATTGAATTTTTCAATTGCTTGGGCCATAGTAAAACAAAGGGAGACTTGGTGGGCCAACGTGTAGTTTTAGAAAGTTATTTCATGCAATCTTCATGCAAGGACGTGAGAAACATTCTGCAATCAAGTTTCAGCAAGCTATGAAGCCTTCGGCAATTTCCAACTTTCTTGCTGCAGTTTCCTTAGCAATCTATTGAATATAGGTATTCATGCAATCAAATTAAATAACAAAAGGCTGATTGATTTGTTAACCAAACTGAAAATACTTGATCTTAGAGCCAAAAGAGAAACCACAGCATACATCCAGATAAGGCTTGCAACAAGCTAATGTTCATTTTCCAGCAAGCATTGAATCATGATTCAAGTGTTTTAGGAACTCAAACATGCAAACTGAAACCAATCTTCTACTGCCCCTTTCCACACAAGATTAACTAGCAAATTAGGATGGCCAAAGCTTGGTGAGTGGTTGCGGAGAAGAAAACAGCAAAGCAGATGCTGCAGCCTTTGCTCTGCTGCAAATTTTGCAGCTTCATACTCGCATGGATGAAATGCCGAAAACATTGTACAAAACTCATTATTTAGTCACCAAACTCACACACATCTCCCAAACATCAATTTTAGCAGGGAGGAAACAAAAGAAATGCAGCAAAGAAAGCATCAACATTCACTTAAGATGTTGAACCAAAACATTCGAGAAAACATCTCAACTCTCGGACCATGAAGCAAAGAAAGAACTAGACATCTACACAGGGCGTTCCGAGACAACATCTAGCAATCATGAAGGCTTATACGCAAATATCAACCAAATATGAAATAAATCATAAGCTTCAAACAAGCCAAAACTTGAACAAGCAAAGGAAACAAATCTGTCCAGGCTGCTGCAACAACTCTTAATCACAAAAACATTCCAGAACCAGGCGACAGATTTGCTTGCTATATCACAACTGAATTCTACTTCAAAACATGGCTTTACCTCATGGCGTACATGCACACGGTATCCCAATCAAATAGCAACAAATCAAACACTTCAAACAATATGAAAACTTCAGCAGCCGAAAGTGCAGGCCTGCTGTCTTTTTATTTCCAAACTCAAATTTCAGACTCCAATACACGAAGTTTGGTCCTAACATTTCTCAATCCAACATTCAAACTTTAAAAGAAGTAACATAACACAAAACTTTGACATCTAAACAAGTAAAAAAAAAACATAGCATGGAAATATGCAAATCTTGGAGAAAACTTTCAAATGTGTTCATGATATCCTAGCTAATCAACAAGCAAAAATCAGATTATTAAACCCGACAGCAATTTAACAGCCCAAAGAAAAGAAAAGCTGCTGCAACAAGCCAAAACATTCAAACTTGTTGCAACAAAACTTCCAAACGGATTCCAAAGACTCTAACAGACCCAAGCTATGCAAATAGGGACCAAAGATACAGCCCTTGGCTCGCTAGATTGCAGAAAGCCATGATCTTCCAACCAAAAAGCAAACAAACTATCACACAAACGCTATCTTCAGCAACCGAAAAGAACAAAAACTAAAAAAACCAAAATACTGCCACAAATCTAAAAGGTCAATCTTGCTGCAGCCAACCCTTAGTCTAAAGATCTTAGCACAAGACTCAAGACCATACTTACAAAACAACCTCAACAACAGCGATCAAAGCACCGAACAACATCCAGGTTTCTCACAGTCCCATCATTAATAGAAACTATCTATAAAGCAAAACAAAAAGAAAGCCTTACAGTCACGTTCTTGGTAAAGCTCTCGGCAATAATGGTGGTGATGAATTCCTCGTCCGTGATTTTTCTTTCCGCCGTTACACACAGATTCTCCCCACAATTCCTCTCTTTTTCTCCTGAAACTCTTTCTTTTCCGTTCTTTTCCTCTAACTATCTCTCTCGCTTCCCTGTTTTCTCCCTCAGCCCTGCCGTCATTCTCCTCTCAAACCCTCAGCTCCTCTCTTTCCTTCTCGCTTTGCCCATAGCTTTCCGTGTCCTTTTCTTTTCATCGGCCATTCTCCCTATCTCTCAGACTCACTGTTTTCTTCCTTGCCTTTCGCTGTTTTTTTCCCGCCGTCAGGCACACTCCCCCCTCCTCATTCTCTCAAACTCAGTCGCCCCTTTTTTCATCAGCCGTCACCAACCTTTGTCCAGTTTTCTTTCTCTCCCTTTCGCGCTTGCTATCTCACCCGCAACTGTTAGCTCCTTCGTTGCTGTTTTCGTTTCTTCTCCACCTCCACTCTCTCTCGGTTTCTCCCTTGAAGCTCTCTCTCTGGCTTAGTCTCCTCAGCCGTTGTTCATTCTATTCTTCAGCCGTCAAAACTCTCAGCAATTGTTACCAACCAACCCCCTCTCTTCTGTCGCTGTTTTTTCCTTTTATATGGAAACCTATATCTCTAAACCCTCACCTCAATGGTGAGGATGAAAGATTTTTTCCTACCCTATCCTCCAGCCATTCGATCCATTGAGCCAAGAATCCTCCAGCCCTCTCTTGTGAAAAATGATTTTTTATGCCGCATGCATGTGCGGCTCTTTTCCTTTTTTTTTTTTTAAATCACTTAATTAAACAATAATATAAAAAAATGACAATTTAAACGTAAATAAAATGTACAAACTAGCAACAAAAAGATGAAACAAAAACTAAGATTTTTCCTGTATTTTTCTCTCGTTTTCCGATTAATAAACTGTAAAAGGAAATAAACATATTTTATGAATGATTTTCTTTTTTGACAAATTTCATGCCGAAAAGACTTATAATAAAACCAAACAGCTAGAAGGGCGAAAAATGAATGCAAAAAATAAAATCTAAAATAATAGATAATAGCTAATGATAATCTAAAAATACTGAAATGCTATACAAATGCTAAAAGCTTAAGAACTAAAATCATGGAATTAAAATAAAAATGGATTTATTTAAAAATTTGGTGTTTATAGTTTGCCCCTCTTTGTCTGAGTTTTGAAAAAACTTGAGACAAAGAAGTAGACACCAAATACCTACCTGTGTTATTTGGCCGCAAACTGCTCAAACAATTGAGGACTGACCCGTTTTAAACAAAATTTTAAAATGGAATTGACTCAGACAAGAAATTTAAAGCGGGACTGACCCGAACAAGAAATTGAAAACGGGATAGACCCGAACAGGAATTTAAAACGGGATAGACCCGAACAAGAAATTTAAAACGGGATAGACCCGAACAAGAAATTTAAAACGGGATAGACCCGAAGAGGAATATAAAACGGGATAGATCCGAACAGTAATTTAAAACGGGATAGACCCGGACAAGAAATTTGAAACGGGATAGACCCGAACAGGAATTTAAAACGGGATAGACCCGAACAAGAATTTAAAACGGGATAGACCCGAACAAGAAATTTAAAACGGGATAAACTCGAACAGGAAATTTAAAACGGGATAGACCTGAACAAGAAACAAGAAATTTAAAACGGGATAGACCCGAACAAGAAATTTAAAACGGGATAGACCCGAACAGGAAATTTAAAACGGGATAGACCCGAACAGGAATTTAAAACGGGATAGACCCGAACAAGAAATTTAAAACGGGATATACCCGAACAGGAATTTAAAACGGGATATACCCGAACAAGAAATTTAAAACGGGATAGACCCGAACAAGAAATTTAAAACGGGATAGACACGAACAGGAATTTAAAACGGGATAGACCCGAACAAGAAATTTAAAACGGGATATACCCGAACAGGAATTTAAAACGGGATATACCCGAACAAGAAATTTAAAACGGGATAGACCCGAACAAGAAATTTAAAACGGGATAGACCCGAATGAGAAATTTAAAACGGGATAGACCCGAACAGGAATTTAAAACGGGACTGGCCCGAACAGGAAATTTAAAACGGGACTGGCTCGAACAAGAATTTAAAATGGGACTGACCCGAACAAGAATTTAAAACGGGACTGACCCGAACAAGAAATTTAAATGGGATAGACCCGGACAGAAATTTAAATGGGATAGACCCACGAGATAGATCCGGACAGAAATTTAAAAATCGATGAAGTGAAGTGAAATGAAGTGTTAATGGGACTGACCCATTTTTATTAATGACAATGTAAATGAAATGCTCACCAGTGGGACTGACCCACGTCCAGTGGCAGTGAAAATGAAAACGCTCACTAGTGGGACTGACCCACGGCTAGTGACGATGCAAATGAAAAATGCTCACTAGTGGGACTGACCCACGGCTAGTGGCGATGCAAATGAAAATACCTTGACAATCGGTCAGTGGGATTAAACCCGAGCCTGCCGTGATGAACTTGATTTGATTTTTGATTTTGATTTTTGATGTTTTTTGATTTTTTTTGATTTTTCTGACTTTTGATTTTTGATTTTTTTGGATTTTTCTGATTTTTTAATTTTCTTTTCTTCTTTTTTTCTCTTCTTTTCTTTTTTTGATTTTTCTTGTTCTTCTTTTTTTTTGTTTTTTGTTTTTTTGATTTTTCCATTTGGGGGAATCTTCTCAAAATAATTTGCCCCAATTTCCACCAATTATTGTGCAGCCGATCATTTGGTTTGCATTACAGCAGGTTTGTGGCGACCCCACTTCCCTCTAAGGCGAACCAGAGGGTTGGCGGGCCGTCTGCCCAGCTCTCGCCAGGACTCACGCAAGCAGCTAGCAAAAGTCCTTCCGAAGTATAACCTAATCTATTGCAACATCGTTTCCCTCCAAATAGGCCGGTCTCTAGAATCACATTAACTTCAGAGATAGCAGTGCCTTAAGATAGCTAACGTCGATTCTTAAAATACCTTCCCGATTACAACCCAAGAAACAAAACATATAACTCAAATACATCCTTATAAGCCAAGTAACAAATTTCATACAAGCCACATACAAATTCAAGGGTTACACTTTTCCAGCCACCTGTGGCGACCCGAAACAAAAGCTACATTGTTTAATTCAAACTACATGCTTAAAGTACAAGTAGATCTCAAGTCTTCCTCAGTTGTCAGAACCTGTAAAAGAAAACCACAACGTGGGATGAGCTACACAGCCCAGTGAGGTTCCAAAATGCTGTAACAGTTCAAATAGGTCAAGTAAATTATGCATATCGTATGCATGATTCTAGATTACACAATGGCATGTTACCATGAGGTGATAATCATTACACGGGTAATTGCTACTTTGAAAACACATGTAGAACTAGTACTTTTGGAATGAATGGCCATATAAATATATTTTCATAAATTTTCAGTCAAACAAATAGTGGCTCGTCCGACTAGAAGGACATTACAAGGATTGCTTCATCTCAGAGGTTAATGCTCATGAGGAGTCTTACCCGAGAATGCCAACTAGGAGAGCAATAACATTATTAATAGCAAAGCAAACACAAAAGGATACGGTGTTCCAGTGAAACTTTGTCGGTCATCTGCACCTTATAACTCCCGGATCTCCACGGTTGACTGGCCATCACCTTATCCCTCCAGTGGTAATACTCGAGTATACCGAAACGGTTGTCCAGGGTTCCAACCTACCCGACCGAGCCCAGTCCTGGCTCGAGTAGGTCAGTAACCGAGGCGGGGCCCAAGTTCAGCTTATAGCTTACAACATGCACAGGTAACAAGGTAATTCGACAAAAGTAAAATTCATCATTTGAATAGGTCGAGGGAGGTAAAGTACACACTCGCCTAACAATGATGGACAACTTCATATGAGCATATAATTTATGATAATCAAGTAATCAGTAACCACATATATTAGAAAATGGTAAGTAAACACGGTTAACGGTAAACGGTAAACGGTGGTAATTACGGTTAATTGGTAGACATATGTCGTTTTAATAGGCCGCCATTGGCCGTTTTGCACTTTTATCACGTAAGAGTCGAGGAGATTCACTTCAACGACGCAACCACATTTAGATTCACAGATTCATTAGTTATGGTAGTTGATTCACGAGTCGAGGGATTCTCCCAACGACGCAACCACATTTAGATTCACAGATTCATTAGAAAATATTTCACACACTTCACCACTCGAACGGCTAGTGTGATAAAGTACACACTGCGCACTTCGATGGATCGGAACTCATTTTCCAAATTGTCACATAACGAGTCACAAGAGCACTTTAACCAAATAAGCATAAATAAGCAGGCTAAGCACATATTGAGATTACAAGATTATTTGATAGGGTTAATCATTTAACCAATTCATGTCGATATGCAATGCATATATATATTTCTTAAATAGGCATGAGTATGGTAAATACTTAACGATCATGAAATGAGCATGTCCTAGACTTACTCAATTACGTATTCTTATATGGAACACTCACCTAGTCAAACAAGGGCAATAGGTTCAATTTGAAGTTCAAGCGTCCTCTGTCGGATCCTCTTAAAGGTCCTTGCGTGCGCCTGAACGAATAGTAATAGTCTATCATTTGCAATTCCTACTATTGTTGAAAATCGTGTCATAGTACAAACTTAGGAAAAATCTCGTGAACAAGTCTTAATTATCCTAAATCTAAATTCTCAAGCGGGGTTTCAAGGTACAAGAGAAATTAAGTCTACATCATGAAATTCAAGGATAAGACATTTGAATATTATCGAAGGAATAAGGAGTACTTGAAAAACTCCATTTCCTTGGAATACGGAAAATTTCAGTTTTGATGCAATACTTTGAAAAATCGTAGCTCACCTTTTACATGTCAAAGATTGAAAAACTTGGTACCGTTGGAAACTTCCTTCAAAATGCTAAAAGTTCCTAGGATACACTTTTTCATGATTCTAAATGGAAGATAGTCAAAATGGGCTCAAAGTTACTCTTTTGGTTCATAAGGCAGATTTAAGTTAGTTTTTGGCCAATTTTGGAAATTCGGCAAAATTCACTTGTTTGGAAATAGCTTTTAAAATTTGGAACTCTATTAGTGTTGTAATTCAAGAGTATAACAAAACAAACGGAATGAGGAACGGAGTTTTGAGCACCAAGATACGGTAGCTCAAAGTTACTAAAATTTTCTTGTTAAACAAGGGTTTTCCAAAATCAAGTCTCGAACTTTGGTAATTTATTTGACCCATGAATCGGTCTCGGAATAACACCATAATTAGCAGTATAATACTACCATATAAGGGTTGTTCCTCTACCAAATTTCATGGAAAAATAACTTCGGAAAGGTGGTCAATCAAACACCTAAAATTTCGCAAATACTAAGACAAAACTGCCTTGAACCTTTTGTTTTTCCATTTCAGACATTTGGTCAAAGAAAATTCCTCCAAACCTGGTTCATTTGTTTAGGCAAAACTTAAAGAATGTTCATGGTGCATTTGGTAAGTGTTTAGCATCAAAATATTCAGTTAGCAAGTCTTTGCCAAACCTTGCATCAAATCTGTCAAAAAAAATCAGGGTTTTCAAGGACAGAGCAGGTTTCATATTTTGATCACAGATCACTCAAATTAACTCGGAATTTGGCATGGTTTAAGGCGTTGGAAAACACATTCATAGAGCTATAATTTCATAGAAGAAATCATTTTGAAATTCGGCACACAACTAGCTCGAATTCGAGTCACAAGTTGCAGCCTCAGCATTTTGTTCTTGTAAAGCAGAGAAACAGAACAACCGACTTAAAATAGTTGGTTTGGCTCACATACATGGAACCAGAATGTGAATTTTATATCGTCGGAAAGGTTGGAATGTCTAGTTTCAAATGCCGCTGACGGCACTCGATTTCGACATCGGAGTTCAAAATTATGGCCGAAATACGAAAGCTGGTCAGAGCATATCGGAAATAGTTCCAGATTTACTAGCTTTGTTAAATCGATTTATTTGACCAACCAAACCTCGATATTTTTAAATGAAACTTTGTACACCATATATTCAACATATCAACATGATATACAAGTCATGAAACTCTCAAAATTTTGCAAAAAGGGTTGCGATTAAAACAGGGCAAATCTGAACATTTTTGAACGATGCATCTTTTGGAGTCTAGACTAGCTAGGTATCATTAATCTACCTATTTAAACACTAAACTAGCATTATATCCATCATCAATCCAAGGGTGGAAGTTCATAGAGCCCACCATCAAAATTTTCCGACACGAAATAAAACAAATAACATGTAATTTTGGCAAATAATTCCACCACAATAAATCTGTCATCGGCTAAACAGAATTTCCAGCAGCTAATTGGTCATAAAACCAACTTTTTACTCGGCTAATACATGATATTAAGTACTCAAATCCGACAAGCAAATACTTGACTAGCTAATCAGATCATCCAAGTCATTGTGGGAATTCATAGAGCCCACTCACCAAGTTTCCATTAAAACTCAAAAGAGCCACCATCGGCTAAGCTGGAAAAATTGCAGCAAATAGATAGTTTGGTATACGAACCTTTCCCTAACAAAATTCATTACTTTGTTCACTCAAACTCAGCATGCATACGGTGATTATTGTGTTATGAGTATATTGAACTACAATACGAAATTTGCAGCCAAGATTTGAAGAGAAAAACTGGAAATTCTTTCTTTCCCTCTCTCGGCCAACTCAACAGATTTCCAGCAATTAGATTGGTCATAAATCCAACTTTTCCTTCGGTTAATTCATGGTATTAATCTTCAAGTTTTCATTCGGCTAAGTACACTTAGATGCTCAGATTGACCCAGAAAATTGAAAATAAAACTGCATTATTGGCTCAACTTCTCGGCAGAAACATCAACATCCAAAACAGAAATTTTCTAATGGCTTAATCTCATTCATCCGACTGTACCATAGTACATGCATGCCCCTAGATAGCTCAAACTATCTCTGATTAGTCATAAAATGAATCCAGAAATTACCTCACAGCAAGCTAAGCTCACGCAAGAAAATCTGGAAAATTTCTGCTCCCTCTCGGCTCTCACGCACACTGGTTGGTCCTGGTTCGATTTGCAGCTGGAAATGGTGTTGTGGTGAAGATGGTTGCAGCTGGGAAATGTTGGTCTGAAGTGAACGAAAATGGTGATGATCAGTAGCTCCTCCGACTTCCACTTGCTCTCCCTGGCTTCACTCCAACTCACGGCCAGAACCAAAAACATTCAATCCTGCGGTTTCTTTTCTTCCACTCGGCTGCAGAGTGCAGCTCGGCCTCTCTCTCGCTCTCTCGGTTTGTCGACACTAGCAAGGCAGAATGAAATGCAGTTGTGGTTTGAGATGTGAAGTGGAAAGGAAATGAAGATGGTGCCGTGGTTTTTGAGAGGTGTTTGTGGTTAGAATTGGTTGAGTGTGGAGATGGTTTACGTATGGAATTGGAGAGAATGGGATTGGTCAATTTGGGCGGTGATGGAAATGTTGTCAGAAGGGGTGTTTGGCCGTGCATGGTGATGGTTGTGGTGTAGTGGGGATTTTGTGAATTGTGAAGGGCATTTTGGTCCTTTCACTTTGCTCCCTAACCTCAACTAAAATCTCAATTCTAACTTAATTCCAACAATTATCCCCAAGTACAATTGATCGCCTAGTAATATGCTAATCTTGCAAGGCTTTAATTATCGAATTTTTCACACCTTAATTATGTTTAGTATACTTGTATCATGTTTATCTAAAATTTATAGGCTTTGTCTCATAGTGAACATTCTTATTAGTGTTTAACGTTATTCACTAATTTAGAATTAGTTATAGAAATTCAAGAAATTTTATATACTTAATCTACTCAGGTAACATTAATTTTCAACATTAAGAAAACTAAGTATTTTAGTATTTTATTTTAAGGCGATAAATTAATCTAACTCAAGAAATATTAATTTAATATAGCAAAACCGAATAATTCAATATTGGCACAATTATATTATTTATTACTTAAAAATTATCTCTACACTTTTATTTCAAAACAATTAATTACCATTCTAGAATTTGAAGAAATTAATGATTAGATCAATGAAATAGTTTACCATCGAAATATGAAGTTAATGTAACAAAACCACGAAGTTTAGTAGTTTAGCACAATTCTTTTATTTTGTACATAACGTTTAATTCTACATACTTATTTAGAAACAATTTGACTTCGTGCTAAAATTTATTAAAGAATTAAAATGCAAATAAAATATGCACTGATATTTATATGTCTATTTTTCAGGGTTCTCACAAGGTTTCTCCCCCTTAAGGCCTTGATTCGCAAAATTCTGACTTACGCTTCTTCATCGATTTCAAGCAATGGATTCCTGTATAGGGGGCTTAACAAAGTACACATGCACTTAAACTTCTCTCTTTTCTTGCTTTTTGGTCTTTTCCTGATTTTTCTGATTGAGGGAAACTTGTCAAAATAATTTACCCCAGTCTCCACCAATTATTGTGCAACCGATCATTTGATTTGCATTATGGCAGGGTTGCTCCTCCTTAAAACTTTGATTCACCTCTTCTTTGGTCTGAACCTTTCAATTCTTGGGTGAGACTCCACAGTCATATGAAAATTGCCCCAATATGTTGTTATTGGACCATTGGACCTTTTATTTTTTCTCACTTTCTTCGGCATCGGCCTTCCATATCACCAGACGCTTTTTTGTCGATTTCATCCATAAATACCTGCACAGGGGACTTACCAAAGTATGACATGCACTTAAATTTCATGAAAAGAGCAGCGTTGATTGATTTGAAAATGTATTATTTGATTTTTGGACGAAAACCTCAAATGTGTTACAAAAACATTTTTTCCCAATGTGGGTCCAATTTGCGAAATCTTGTAAACGAAAATTTGCCCCAATATGGGCCTATTTTACAAAATTCCTCAAATGAAAATTTGCCCCAGTGTGGGCTTATTTTTGTGAAAACCTCACAAATAAAAATTTGCCCCAATATGGGCTCATTTTACAAAATCCCTCAAATGAAAATTTGCCCCAGTGTGGGCCCATTTAATTGCAAAAAAAATTGTTTGGATGACACTCCATTTATTTGAATAATGTAAGAAACTGTGTTTCCTATACAATGTGAAGAAATCTAAGCGTCTTGCTTAAACTCATACAAAAAATTTCATGATGAATTTCTCAAAATAATACCAAATTACAAGGATTCCTTCCTCATTTTAGCATCGATGCTTAGAGTAATGGGCCACCACTTTTTGTTAGGTCGTCTTTCAGGACCAAACAAGGGATCTTATTTCTGATTTTGAGGTGGCTAAGGAAAATGAGAAATCGAGATTTGTCTTATTTTTGTGCCCAAATTGTATGTAATGCATTCAATGTCACATCTTAGTGAAAGCAAAGAGTTTGTCACCCTTATTTCTTAAGAAAACTTAGTCAACATATAAGATTTAGGCTTGCAACGTGTGGGCAGAAACAACAGCTAAACATGTGAAAACAAGTTATAGCCGTATGATCACAAATAATTGAGGGACTCCTCAGAAGCATAGCCCTCACTTCAAGTTGTCATGAAGGATAAGTCAACGATGGACTTTATGAGCTTGTAATGTGGCTTGAAACGATAGTTAAAGAATAAGACTTTCAAGGACATTGCACTGGAGATCGCATTTTTCCAAAAATTGCCCTAATCTTGGACTCCAAGATCTGGAACTTTGTTTGACTTTTATCACCACTCAACAGGGACTTTACCATCGAATCTTTTGTATTTGCATTTACTTTCTTGCCTTTTCCTTTTCCTTTCTTTTCTTTTCTTTTCAAAGGTGCCCTTGTGGTTTTCAGATGATGAGTACTATCGACCTCCAACAAATCAATTCAGAAATACATTCAAAAATTTTCTGGCATCAGTATAGGAGCATCACTTGCCAATTAGAAAATTTCTTTGGCAGAGATATTGCAAAGAACAGAAGTCAGGACTTTCGATTTTTGTAATGGGGTCAGGTGAGGTGCTATAAAAGTTAAGGCTTGAAAGCGGATTTTTCGAAGTGGTTTAAATGATCGGAGATCGCATTATTGTGCCAACTCTCTTTTTGGGGTTAAATCATAACTTGCCCCAGTTTATTCTCAATTTGAGGCTCTTTTCTTTTCCATTTCTTCTCTTTTGATTGATTTTTCCTTTGGCTTTTTGCCATTCCTTTGAACTTTTTCAAAAATTTGCCCCAGTTTATGCTCAACCGAGGTTCTCTTTGCTTTTGATTTTGTTGCTTTATCACTTTTCACCTCTTGGGACTTTTCTTTCTTTTTCAACTCAAACTTGTCCCCAGTGTGGGGTTTGCGATTCTCAGGGTTTGTCAAACAAAATATTTACTCTGAAGGCTCAAAAGGGATAACTAGAGATAGAATGTTAAATTGGAAAAGAAGAGGGCCTGACTTTTATTCCGTTCCTTACATTAACTCTGAAAGGAAACTTTCATTAATGCGAAATTTCTTGCCTGTATCTGAATTAACTGACTGAGGAAGACGCTTGTTCATCCATATAGGTGAAAACATAGGCGATCAGCCGGACAAAATTCTTCCTTTTCTTTTCACTTTCTTCTTCTCAAAATTGAAGCCCAGATATAATCAAATTTCCCCAAATTGCGGTTCCCTCTTTTCTTTTAATTTTAGCATTTTTGCTTTTTCTCTTCTCTTTTTGAAATTTCTCCAATCTCCTTCCCCAATGTGAGGGGCGATCATAAGTGCTTTAAAAAGAACCACCAATTTTAGCTCAAATGAGAATGCAAGGGGTAAATAGTGTTTAGATTGTAGAAACGATGGCCAAAACATCATTCTTACAGCTCATGACAACCAAAGTAACGAAATGCTCATTGAGAATCCATTCCCTTTTGATATTTGAAACTTTTCCAATGTAGGGTAGTGAGCTTTAAGACTCTTATGTGAAACGAAATTATTCTTTTAAAGGCTCAAATGGGAGAGCAAATGATAAAAGGTGTATGGATAGAGAAACGAATGCTTGAAGTATCATTCCAAATTTTCAACACAAACAAGGATAATGCACATTTTTTTGCTTTCACTTAGATGTGAATTGAATCTAATTAGACCCCATGGACATTTTTCCAAGCAAAGGTTGCCCAAATTTGTAATTTATCAATCAATGTGACTGATTTTATTTTGGGGTCAATAGAAGTGGGAAAATATGAATTGTACATTGAAGGAGAAAAGGTATCTCATTGGGCCTTTTGAGTGACCTCTTTTAATTTTGAGCACTCTTATTGTGTGGCTCGGATCACCAATCTAGTGCACGCAAGGACTTTAGAAAGCATACACTTGTGAATTTTCAGGCTGGAGGTTGAGGAAATCTCAATTTAGTTATATTTCTTAAAATTCATCATGAAATCTCCAATGAGCAAAAACAAAGAATGAAATGTACATGAATATACAAAACAATAATTGTCCAGAACTTTATTGCTGACAAAGTTTAAAACAAAATTTCTCGTTCAATTATAATACAAATGAGAAGAGAAAACTTCTAAAAAGCTCCACATATATACACTTTTTGTTTCTTTTGGAACAGGAATGTATTAACAAATCCAATATACAGAATTTTCTTTGAAAAACAATTATGAAATCTCTTAGAAGCTCCTAGCCTAGAGCTTTCAGATGGATCTTTCATGTTTCCATTGTTGGATCTGCTCAAGAATCAAATAATACTTGTAATTTTCACACTTTATTAGATCAGAATTGTTATCAAATATAGAAAAATATTTTCACCCTATTGAAACATTTTTCATGAATGCAGGGGAAGGGGGAAAAATAAAAGAAAAATACCCAAAATTAGTAGGCAAGACTACAAAATCGGTATGCATGTCCTATGGGGGGAACCCTTTTTGTGCCAAGGGTAGGCTGTAGACACCAAATTCTTAAATAATTTGTATGTTGCATCTAATTCATGATTTTGTTTTAGATTATCTGCATTTTAGTTGTTACCTTTTTATTTGTCTTTTATTTGCTAATTATTTGTCATATTAATTTTGTTCACGTTTTAGTCTTAGTTTTAGTTTTAAGTTTTAACGTAAAATTTGTGAAAAAAAAAGGAAAGAAAAGAGGAAATTGATGAAAAATGGAAAATTGTGCTTTCGTGGATTCTAGTTTATTTAGATTTAGTTTCTATCCAATGTTAATTAAATTTTTTTGTTGTTTTTGTTGTTTGTTATCTATTTTTATTATCAGTTTTATTTAATTAATTAAAAAAAATCAAAAAAATCACAATCCTATTTCTGCCGAATCCATTTCCACTTCACATTCTAGTATTTTCTATCCTTAGTGCCGGTTTCTTTCTCCACTACCACACACTACTATATCAACTACTAATTACCACAACACTTCCGGATCTCTAGAGGACACACATCCATTTCCATTTGCTGCCGTGAGCTAG